AACAATTGAACTATTCAAACCACCCAATAAAATTAATTTAATCTAACACATAATGGAGGACTACAAGCCTCAATTCTAATTTAACATAAAAAAAAATGAAAGGACTACAAGTCTCAATTCCAATTCAACATATAAACATAAAACAAAAGAGAGGACTACATGTCCCAATTCTAATTCAACAAATGAGAGAACTACAAGTCTCAATTCCAATTCAACGTATAAAAATAAAATAAATAAGAGGACTACAAGTCTCAATTTCAATTCAATATATAAAAATAAAACACAAAAGAGAACTACAAGCTCTAATATAAATTAAATATATATAAAAAAAATAATAGAAGAGGACTACAAGCCCCAATTTTATTTTAAAGTAAAAAAATAAATATTGGACTACAAGCCCTAGTTTTAAGTCAATACATAAATAGGGTAAATTGTAAGGGATACACCAAATTAAACTTATTTGACAAAAGTACACACTAAAAAATGTAGGGTTATTAAGTACTTAATTTTGATACTTATTTGTATCCAAGTACATAATTTGAATTTATCTATTTTCATTGTGACATTTTTACCCTCCATTAATCTATGTGTATAAACATCTTCTAGTTTTATGGGAGAACTTTAATACATATATATATATATATATATATATATACACACACACACACACACTTATGTATATATGTGTGTATGTATATATTTATTGTTAAATCTCTTATCTAAATTTTGAATTATCTTTTAATGCACATTGATTCATGCATTTTTTTTTTAGAAAGTGATTTTATTTTAAAATTAATTTAATATCCGAATAGTGTAATAATATAACAATAACAGTGTAACAATAATAGTTTAACAATAAAAGTGTAACACTAACAATGTAACAGTATAACAATAATAGTATAACAAACTATTTACACAAAATATTGTACTATTACATTTTGTCAAACATATAGTTTCATATAATTTCATTCAAAATAGTTCATCTCCGTTTTGAATTTGTTACCCTATATACAAAACTACTGAACACTATTTTTATTACAGTGTATTTGTTACATTGTTATTATTACTATGTTATTGTTATACTATTATATTATTCGGATATTAAATTAATTTGAAAATAAAAATATTTTTCAAAAAAAAAAACACTTGAATTAAGGTGCATTAAATATAATTTGAAAACAAAATCACTTTTCAAAAAAAAAAATACGCATGAATTAAGGTGCATTAAAAATGATTTAACAACAAATATATATGTGTGTGTGTGTATAAATAAGTATATATATTCATATATACGTGTATATAAACAAGTATACACGTGTATATATATATATATATACATATATTTACATGTATTAACAAATATACATGAATCAAAAGTGTATTAAATTCATATTTATATTTATTAACAAACACACATGAATCAAGATGTTTTAAAAATAAGAGATTTTGAATTAAATGATCCTAACATGGTCATTTATGTCTTTTTAACTCACATTTTGTTATATGTACTTTTTGTCAAATAAGTTTAATTAGGTGTATCGATTTCCAAAGAATCCTAAAAAACAAAACATAAAGGAGGACTACAAGCCCTAATTTCATATTTTCAACCTATAAAAACAAAATAGAGAACTAACATGTTTCACTATGTATTAGCCTAATCCTTAAATCCCTAAGTGACTCGGATGATCGATACGGTCTTCCAAAGATGCCGATGTGAGTCATGTCATAATACATTCACTACACAAATGATCAAATCGTCATAATTTAGTTCATGTTCAGATTATTAAATGCCTAATTTCTACAAAAAAAAAAAAAAAAAGGTTCAATGAGTAGGGAAAAAATAAACCCTAATTGCTGGCTAACAATTAAGCATTTATAAAACAATCAAAAGCGAAGAAATAGGATTACCTATCGACAGGCTAAACAATCCTCTCAATCGACCCTAAGAAATGAAAATTGACCTTTGCCATGGTGAAGGGTTCAAACAGGAAAACAGTCTAGCCTTCTGCCTTCACCTATTTTGGCTTTTAAGCTACTTGAGATACGGTGGAAGGGGATGGAGGAGATTTGTTGGAGTAAAGTCAACAGGCTTGTTGACTACTGTCCAAAGCTTGAAGTTTTTGCTTTGGATTTCTCTGAAGTGCTTAATGGTTTTCCCCGACCTCCAAAGAACTATGTGTGTATGACTTATAGAAGTTTGGTGAGTGTCGCTCTCCCTCGGGCTCGTGCAAGATGCGGGAAAATGGTGTGTGTGAACAAAAACCTGTGTGCAAAAGTGCTCCCCAAGTGAAAAGAGACTTACAATGTCGTGTTTTACTTAGAATAAGTATTCCAAGGTCGTCTCCTCAGGGAAGGAAAGGTCAAAATCTTTCAAAGAGTGATTTGTAAACAAATGAAAATTGAAAAATCTTGATATTTGTGTTTTGGTGAGTTGTGTTTTGGTAAAAATGCAATAAAGTAAAGTTGTTTAATCCATAGAGGTCATTCCAATAGGAATGTCAAATCGATTCAATTCATTCAACCAATGGTGTCTCGGTGTTTAATTGATTCGTAAGAAGTGAGAGACTAATGTGGATGTATTGGGCAAAAACATATCCCGTGACAAGCCTACGGTGTATTAAGAGCCCACAACTACGTCCACACTCAACCTAATCAAATCAAACACTTTACACTACGAGGGAGAATGAATAAGAGTCGATTTTACATACTCAAGAGAAAATTCCCCTTGGATTAGCCCACTAAAAGTCTAACTACACATAGTAAAAGCAAGAACCAACATAAGGTAAAGAGACATGGTAGTGAAATAAAACATGAAACTTGTATTGATGCAAGAAAAAATTTAAACTACAAGAGCAAATTCATTTATACCCAAAATACAAAGATTTAAGACAAAATACCCAAATGGAGAAATGGATATGCTAGAACAGTTAATTAAACTTAATTACAAGTTAAATAAAAAAGTTTAGAGTGAAAGAGAGAAAGATTACAAGTAAAATGAAGCTCACTACAATGAAAATAATGAAAGAAGTGTAAAAACCCAACTTTCTCTCTCTAAAACTCCATCTTTAACCTTGGAGCTTCTCTCTCTAAAAGCATGTAAAATCTAAATAATGGTGTAAGACTTCTCAAAATTCGTCCATACCCCCTCCTTAGCCTGTGTGAACTGCGTTGTAATGAGTGGGGAGAGGTTGTACACTTGAACAAGTAAAAACAAGCTCAGCATGCTCCTCTCATGCTTTCCCAACCACCTCTCTTCTTTCTCTTGCTTCCCCCTCTCTTTCTTGAAATCTGACTTTTTGGTATAGGAAAGCATCATGGGGTGTCAAATATGTTAGGGTATTGTTTGGATGACAAGAGGTGGGTCCCTTGGAGTAAATGGAGTCGTGTGAATAAATATTTGGCAAAACTGGGCAAAACCTACTAGTAGAAAATAAAAAAACTTACCAGTAAGTTTTTTCCAATAAACTTTTCTATCAGTAAGTTTGTTTTGCATGGCTGAGGTAGAAAAAATCCAGTAGCATTTTCTACCGGTAGATTTTGGATCTTCTATCAGTAGGTTTTGTCTGACTTCTACCGGTAGGTTTTGTCCTACTTTGTGATTTCCTTTGTTCCATGAGGTCTTGAGCCATCCACTAAGCATTTGTTTCTTCCCCATTGCCTTTGAGTACTTGATGGGAGGCTTTATACACGACCATACCTGCTCTTTATCTACAACTACATGAATGTCTATTAATAGTGAGTTTGAAAGCATTTCCCCCAATTTTCACCACAAAACAAGTAATATGGATGCAAAAGAGATACATAATATGCAATATTCTATACTCATCATCAAACACCAACAAGAAACAATGTGAGGCTACTGCTCGGGTGTTGAACACAATTTCATCTTGTTTTTTTGTTCTAACCATTTTCTTAATCCAAGTTAATAATATAGTCCCACTAGGCATGCCAAAAAATTATTGCTTCAAAATCTGTTGAGATCGACAAATAAATCTCAATCAACAGACAATTTTCAAGCGATTGTTTTTGAAAAGTTCAAATATTTTATTCCAAGATTACTTTGGATGAAAATACTAGATAAACACATAGTAAATGGGACTTAATAGAAAAGGATTCTTTAAAACTACTCTTAAAATACCCAAATAATGGATCTTGTAATAGTGTGAGTGTCTCCTTCATTTTCTCCACTACATATCCTTTTATAGTTAGTATCTTCAATAGTTTTACTTCCATCAACAATTATTAAATAGTAACTTCTAATTAGCTATTTCTCTTATAGTAATCTCTAGGTAGTTATTTCTCTTTTCAAACATGACAGTGACTAATCATCTCCCGTCTTTCTTCAAATTCTACCTCGTAACTTCTTTCTTCAGATTCTACCACGTAACTTCTTCTCAGTACATCTAGATTATCAAATGTCGACACATCAAATATTTATAAAATTTAATATTTTATGACCAAACACTCATATTTAATACCAGCATTAAATCTTTAAAAAAAAATTCAAGTTTAACAACTCCAAGTGGTCGCATAGATATCCAAGAGGTTGGCATAGGGATAGTTTGGCCACTTGATAAACGCCTCAACAAGTACATGTGAGGGGTTTGAATATTGCACGAGTATTTACACCCCATGTGGCCACTAACCTTAGATTTAGCACCTTTTGCAAAGAGCCGACTTTATACAATGTCCAGCATTAGTCTCTATAGAATTATTATTGTTGCCACATTTATATGTCTCTAAAGGCCATGAAAATTAACAGCCATAGTACACTGACAGGATTACACAATGATAATTAATTACCGTTTCAGAACCATTAAACCTTTACCATACAAATTTAATTCATATACAATCAGTCAGTTGCTGTATAAGTTGCTACTAAGTTTACAGAATGCCTACATGCAGATTATATAAACTATTCATATACATATGTATATATAGGCAAATAGATTTAACGCCTATATAGAAGATATGTGACTAAATGAAGACAATGGGTGAGATCAGAATAAAATTTTGTCCCTTAGATATCCTTCATGCCTTAAGTACCAAAGCGCTGCTTCAGCTGCATCCTCTGCTGCATCTTTCTTTTTGGCCCGAGGTTCTCCATAACACTCTAAAATCATGTTCGAGGCTTCTTCAATTTCCACAACCACCTTGAAAGTAAATCTGCAGAAGATTTACGTTTAAAATGGGAGTTCCGTCAATGTCTGAATGCTTAATGTTTTAAGGTTTTCATAACATTAGCATAAAGCAATTCAGCTAAGAATGTGATCATGAAGAGAACAGAATTGCAAGTGCAAAACTAACACTAAACAGCTGCAGAGGTCATCGGAAATATGATGTAACTTAAAGGATGAGAAGGAATAAAAGTAAGTGGTGTTCCACTGTGAGAGATGGCCCTTATTCTTCTCCTGTCACTCCATCACATTCATAAACACCATTTCAAACAAAAGTTAAAATACTATACTGAAAGGTTCAAGTTTCCAAAAATGGCAAGCAAAATGGCTAGAGTTGCACTGCTAGGCCACATTTAGCAGGAAAAATGCTCCTGTTTAACAACCGTTGTAGTCAAGGGTCCTATGGTTGCTGTGATTTGCAGGGATAGAGGGAAGGATTCGCTCGTCACAGAAAAGTAAGAGAATCTAGTTTGGCATAAACCTTTAGCTGTTATAATAGATTTTTGAAGCATTATGTTCGAGCTTTAGGACCTTGTGGAAACGCAAGGCTCAAGTTAAGGTTGCAAAACATAATTCTTTTAAGTTGAGGAAGCGACAAAAATTATATTTTGTTATTGTTGAGGATCTTTCTGTCTTGTGTTTCAAGGTAATGCCCAATGAGTTGACCCTTTGAGTCTGCTTGGCTAGGGCTTCTGTGTTGCACTTGTGGCTAAGACAATTCTTATATTGACTAGCTAAGATTCTTCCTTTCTTTTCTTTTGCGTCAGCAAGAAGGTAAATCAAATTCATGGTGTACGTATGCAATCACACAGCATAAAACCTAAAACTAAAAACAGTTTCTACACGCTAGAGAAATATTTGAAAAGATCATGAACTCACTCTTTCAAGTGGCTTGCTCCTGTTTCTTTGCAACAATCAAATAGAGGTGGTTTCCAACAGTTTGCAGCACAGATTTCATATAATTGGGACCTAGCTGATCCCTTGCATGAACCACCTGAAATATAATGGTGATCAGAAAATAAAATATAACTCAGATGCCAAGCAATCGTAATGGCCTAATGTATACCTGTGCTCTGAGAGTCAGCCTTGTAGTCATCATCTTCAGTGACCGTTGTAGGCTGCAATACCGGAACCTTGAACGGAGATGGAGGACATTTAACATGTATGCCACTGGATTTACAAATCTTTGCAACTTCAGTGATGGGGTGCAGTGTCAGGTTACAATCACTTGCAGGAGGTTCCTGCACCTTCAAGTCATCAAATCTAATTAATTGTGGCTCAGTAACATCAGGAGATGTTTCATCATATCCAATCAATTTGGCTTCCATCTTGCGGTACTTCAAAACTTCCTCCAATGATTTACACTTAGATTTGTAACCTTGAGCCTGCACATCAGGAGTTAATGAGGACCAAAGAACTGGTCAGAAAAGCTAAAAATAAACCTAAGAGTCAAGCCCCTTCGAGGGCAGATATATTTACAAACCAATTAACACCACTTCCCATTCCCCTGCTAACCACTTGCTAAAACTTTAAAGGGGGAAAAAGGGGGAAGGCGAAGAAAAGATAAAAATAGAACCTTAACCATGGAAAGATAAAGAAGCACAAATGACCTACAAAAGGATTTGTTGTTGGTCATGAGCATCGTTGTCAAATCGCGATTCGTATCGTGAATCGGAATACTAAATTGAGAATTGTGAATCGTACAATTCGACACAAAATTTGAACAAAAATAAAAAATAATACTACATATTTAAAATAGACAAAATATTGAATATTGACCAGTATTACATTCTAAAAATAATCAATTGACATAATTACGTCGTCTAAATAGAAAGACGCTAGCCTTTTACTTCATTTTCATCTTTTGCTTAACCATTTTCAAATTCGTCATCTTAAAAAAAATTCATTAAAGAATCATGGCTATTCAAGAACCAAAATAGTGACTCATTATAGATTAGGTTATAACTATGAATGGAAAAAGAACAAATAAGAAAATTGATTTGGAGAAAACATACGGCCAACATTTTCAAACAAAAAATTAAAACCTAAAAAATTACTCATGAAAGAATTGAGAGCAAAAATCAACCGATGATATAAGAGCGTTAGCTGTGACCTTTAGTTTTAAACAACGCAAGGCGAGCTTTAAACGATATCAGAGAGAGAACGAGCAAAGAGGTTGAGTTTTTATTAGGGCATGGATTCCTCTGCAAATAAAATGACATCGTTTTACTGTTTAGCAGACAAAACGACGTCGTTTAGCCAAAAATTTGGGTTTTAAAAAAAAGTGATTGAATCTTGCGATTCGTGAGATACGAATTGAATCGTACGATTCAAATACGATTCAACTCTAAAATGATTCTCATATAAGATACGAATCGTTTTGTACCTATATCGAATCGAATCGCAAATCGTACGATTTTGATAATTATGGTCATAAGGCTAAGAATTTTCCTGTAATCTTGGATGCAATTTCCCCCATAATCATCAGTCAATAATTAAAAGGCAAAAGATATTACAAAAGATGTACTCTCAAAACCCAGCCATCTAGGCTGAAGCCTAATAATGAGGCGAAGTGGAAAACAAATACACGTACAGAAACAGAACTAAAAAGTTGCTTCAAAAGATTAAGTAAAAGCACTTCATAGGATCAGAAGACAGAGACAGCTGACCAAGCTCAATGGTGCAAGCCATGCAAGTATGCCAGCATAAAAAGGGCTCTTCTTAGCTAAGTAATAAAACTATTCAAAAATTTAAGTCACCAAAGTTTAAAATGACTTGGAGAAAAAAACTATTCTACATCTACTCTTGATTTCTGGCCACAAGGTTTTACTATTCCTGAGGAATTATATCAACACGTGATATATGAAATGTCATGCCATAATTTACAACTATTTTCATTTCCACTGCATAGGCATTATATGAACTCACTATCGAAAGGTCGTATCACAATTTAGAATTGTTTTTAGCTTTAGTATTGTTGAGCCACAAATTCCCTAGTCACCAAAGTTCAAATTGACTTGTTATATAACTATTCAACATGATTCTTGATTTCAGGTTAAAAGGTCATACCCACCCAACTAATAAATGCTTTTTGTTTCCGCATTGTATGTTATAATTTTATTTCGCATTTTTTCCCTAGAGGATGGTTGCTAGTTGCTACCTTTCACTTTTATGGTAATTTATGAGAATGAGGTAAAAACTTTGCTTCTTGCTTCAACTAGTCCCCTTCTTATCTTTGCCTTTTATTAAGCATGCAAGTGTATGGTCAAGGTGCATACACACTTCAACTACTATCCATACCAGACACAAGTGTTCAACAGCAAATATGTATCTAAATTACAACTAAAATCTTTTTTGTAAAGCCCCAGACCCACATTGCACTGTTCTATCTACTTAGGACTAGGTCTCATGGCTTTAAGTTAGTTTGTGAGACTGTTAGGGTTTAGAGGAGAAATAAGAGATTATGGGAAGAGTGTAATGAGTTAAGGTTACACAACTACATCCCAATATACATATAACCACAAAAGTACCAAAAGTACCTTAAGGGTTACATCCTAATATAACATCACATAACACTCCCCCTAAAGTTGGTGCATAGATATTTCTCACGCCCAACTTACAAATGATAGGATGAAAACTACTAAGCCCTTTTGTGAAAATATCGACCAACTGATCCTATGATTTCATAAAATGGCATACAAATTAAACCCTTATTAAACTTCTCTTTGATGACGTGTCAATCAATCTCAACATGTTTAGTTCTATCATGTTGAACTGGATTGTGTGCCATGTTGATAGCATGGTTCAATATCAGGTGATGGATATGACATCACATAACTCAAATTCTCCACAACCAGTGTTGTATTGCTATCAAGCCATGGCAATGTTAAGAATTCACTAAAATTAAAGAAAGGACTAAAAACATCACCATCCAGGTAATCTAAAGAAACTTAATGCAAAAGGGAGCAAGTTAATGTTATCCAGGACCTCCAGCAGTAACAGTTTTACAGGTAGCTTGGAAATGTAATCGTATTTTCTTTTAAAATCATGCTTTTTTCTATGGAGAAGACAACTTGATATAGTTATTTTTGGTAGCACTATTAAAAAAGTGGATTCCGCACTATTAAAAGAGTGGATTAGTCGAGACAAAAATTTTCTGAATTGCTTGGGCATGGAATTTTCAACATAATCTTAGTTTGGCCTTCCGGAATAAAGATTCCAACCGGTTGTGCAATAAGATGTGCTGCTCCTCCTTCACCGTTGTTTCGACTACCACAATAGTATAGTCCATCGCTCTCTAGTGTCGATTCAGGTTTACCAAGAAAAGGTGGGAGTACAGAATTATGATATTGTCATGTAAGGACTTGAACCCTCAACCTCAACCTCTGCCTTGGCAAGGCTATGCTCTACCATTAAGCTGGCCAACTAGAAGGGGTTGAAGTTTGACGCAGAGCTTTCTAAACCAGTAGGTCCTTGAGCGAATCTCACGTTAGTCCCGAGACGTTGGCCTCCTTTCTATCTTTCCTCTCCCATGACGCTCCCAAAGAAATCGGGTTGCTCAATTGCTATAGCACTTCGGCCCGAGCGTGGGTCTTCCACGGACAACAAGTGTTCTTTATCAAGGACCAGGGGTGGGGAGGCAGTCTTTGAACTAGACCTATCCACCACTCCTTTCCCACCCACGTCTGTCGGCGCTATTAATTACACGGCCTTGACTATCAACTACAGGTTGACCTTGACTGAAAGTAAAGGAGAAAGGACGAGTAGCTTTGAAGCACATAGAAGGCTGTTTTTGATAGCACCGTCGTTCGGTTATTGAATGCCAACCAAAACTCCCCACTGCACATGCGCTAGCACACATACTCTTCTGCTATGAGCGAGACTCCATCCAAATCTGCCACTCATTGGGCGAGACAAGCCATCCATGAAAGACATCTTTTTTTTCATATCCACAGGTATTGTCTGTCATGATTTCCATGATCGGACGACCTTGCAGGCCCCTGTATCTCTTCTCATATAACCTTCAACAGATTTAATCTCCCACTGATCTATGAAAAGCAATCAAATTGCAGAAGCTCTAGCTAACACGACATGTGACAAGTCTGAGAACTCGATAACAAAAGCAGAAGCCCCAATTAACAGGACAGACGACAAATCTAAAAGTTCAGTACCTTTATCTTTCCACAATGCTATCAAAAACTTCTATGGCTTTAAAAGAAATGGTTGCTTTAATGTCGGTCTTAAATATGTTGTTTATTTCCCACAGGTCCAATGATGGCTTTTGAATGTTCTGTATTTATTCCCATTTGGACTTCACAGAGGCAAGGCATTTAATCTCACTCTTCCCTTCTTGTTCTTTCCTAATGATATTGAAAAAGAAGGAGTCCCATCCCCCAGCCAAAAATAAAAAAGGAAACACAAAAAGCAAAAAACAAAAAAAGAAAGAAAGAAACTCACTTCTTTAAGTGTTTCAGCTTCAGGTATCAACTTTTTTGGTAACATCGTACTCTTTTGGAGCAGGTAACAGCAGATAATTGAAAATTGCACAAAAGAGAACACAATTTTTACCTTCAACCTTGCACAAATTTGTTGTGAAGCCATTCTTATGGCAGCATTTTTGTTGGTGTTGGTAGCACAAGATGTCTCAGAAATATCTTTTCCAGTCACTTTTGCTTCCACTAGAAACATTTCGTCTTTCTTTGATGACGTGAACTGCAGATCCCAATTATAAGATTGACAGAGTTCCCGAATTTCCCTAATAGGATTAATCTGCAACCTGGAAAGGCTCATACTAAGATCCAGAAAAGAGATCATTATCTCCCAAACACAATTCAAATTGAATCCTGTGTCAAGAAGAATAGCACCAACACAAGACTCCACCAAGTCACCAAGAGCCTGATTAAACACAGTGAGATCACATATAAAATCAGGATCCATTTCATAAGTTTAAACAGACAACGTATTTCATGACTTCAGAATATTATCATAGACAACAATGTTACCCTACCACCTACCACAAAATGAACCAAAGCAATAAAAGTTTCTGAATCTGACAAACAAAACTTCCATAAACTGTAAGGAAGTATACAGAAATGATAGTATGACCCGGTTGTTATAATTTGAATGTTCCAAGGATACCGTCTCCCCTGTGCCACTGTGTATTTACCCGCATTAGTCAACAGGAAATAAAGCGCACTGTTTCTGTCACCTCATGTTGAAAAAAAAGGTAGTATACGCAACCATAACTACAAGGGTAGATTACTTAATTCTTCCTCAAATATATATTTTGGGTTCTGATGAATCTATGATATAAATCTCTTTGAGATCTACTGTTTATGAAAAGTAAGTAAAGGGCGAGTGCACACCCCATGGTATATTACTATTGTTGTGAGAAGTTGTATATCTAGCTGGAAAATACATACCATTTGGATTTTTGTTTATATTATATGTCCCTTGATTTTGGAAAAAAATCTGAAATTAAAAAACCTACAGAGTGCAATATGCTTCCAATTTGATGCAGCTAGACAAGTCTTACAAACAAATACTACGACAAACTAGGAATAGAGTGGTGGCAATAAGCTCACCATGTGCCATATTTGGTGTTACTATACAGGTCTTGGGATTCGTCCATGGAAGTGGCCAAAAAGAGGAAAAAATCTTGGTTTGACTTTGTTGTTTATTAACAGCCAGAAATATGTGAATGATGTTCTTTTTTCTGCAACATATATATGAGTGTTTAAAAAAATGTGAATATTATATGCTTAACTTGTAAGTGTATTATATATGTTCACAAGTATGTCTGTCATGTCCAATTTACGAATGACATCCCTGTCAAGAATGAAATCTCTTTGAAAATATTAAAAGTTGTGTAAACACCTGTCAAAAATCTTCTTAGTTTTATTTATTCTCCTGCATGGATGTGTATATTATTTTTTTCATCTATTTTTTTAGGTTTGATATTGGCATTGATCCCAGAAATTGGAACTGAAATTACCGACATACATCTGCAAAACCACCATATCCTTCAAAGAGGCTTTTTGGCTCCCCTATTTAAGAGAAAGTATTGGATGAAGAGTAAAATCTGTATGTAACATTGACTTACAGAACCAACAAGAGCAAACAGTCCACAATGATTACCTTCGGACATCTTGGCCCTTCAACCTGACCTTTATCTGATGCAGATGTTCCAATGAAATTGGCATATTTCATCATAGATTCACAGAGGGCAGTAGAATCACAAATAATATGTTTGTGGAAGGAACGGTATACTGCAATGTCAGCAAAGGTATTATTGTTCACTGATATTGATCTCAAATCTGTCAACTGACCAGGCTTCAGGTTTGGATATACTGAGTACAAATAGGATGTGATTAAATAATCCAGGACAGCATCTCCGAGAAATTCCAGTCTCTGATTGAAGCCATCAAAGTGTTACCAAATGCATTATCCTAGAACAAAATGTTCAAGCACAAGGAGTTGTCATGTGAGAGGAAAACAGCGCAACTACCTGATAGCAGCCTCCCGAAAGACTGTTGTAAGAAGGATGGACAAATGCCTGTATAAGCAGACCTTTATGGGAAAATGCATAACCTAAAGAATTTTCAAGGGCAGCAATATCCATCTGAGAAGCAAGTGGGATAAAGTTTGTGCTCGCTGCACAAATCTTACTAACTTGTGAGGCGTTAAAATCCACTTGTATGCCAATCCATTTAAGAAATGCAGTTGCTGCTTTGAAGCCACTGTCAACTATGAATGCTCCAACAAGAGCTTCGACCACATCTGCAATGGTTTTCTTGTGCAACCAATGATGACATTTATTGCATCTTACTTCAGCTTTTGCACCATTTGTGACACTAAGTTCATGCGGAGAATGTATACTCATTTCTGTTTCTTTAGTACATATTACTGGGCAAGTACGACCCAGTGTGAAGAATTCTCGGGGTTCAAATGATTGATCACGTATATAAACCTGGAATATCCACAGAAGTGCTATGCATTTTAAGTACTAAAATAGAAAATCAACACAATAAAAGCATTATTTTGCTAACTAAAATCATTCAATCAGGATGAAGTATCAACTGCAAAATGTTGAATTGTAAACATGCTGGATTTATTCTTCTTTTTTTTTTTTTTTTTGGTGGGGGGGGGGGGGGGGGGTTACCATCCAAACTATCATTTTCTCACAGTTTGAAAGCAGTTTCTGAGATGGCCTGAATTCAGATCGAAAGAAAACAAAAACATAGAAAATAATTCAGTTCCAGCATTTTGACATCAATTGGATCTAAGAACCAAAAAGAAATACATGAGACATATTGATGCATTAAAACTTTAGGCGGATCAAATTGGAGTAGTAATAGCTATAGAATCATATAAATGTCAATGTTAGAGATCAGGCAATTCAGGATGATTTAACTCAGAAAATATAGCACTTACCTGTAAATTGCTCATTGTTGCTAGTTTGAATAAATTGGAATTATTGACAAGGTTAGAACGCATTCTAGTCAGTTGTCCTTCATCAAGGGCATCATGCAAAAGAAACAGGTGCCTGCCAACTGCAAACTTGAGGAAAGCATCACCAAGCACTTCAAGCCTTTCAAGTGAAAAACGCTCATTGCATCTCTCTGTTGTGAGTGCTTCGAGAACCTGGAACATAGCCATCAGGTTTTTCAGAACTGATAACAGAAAAGAAAATAATTACAATTGGCAGAACTTGAATGGTACATCCGATAATGATGCAATAGCTTCTAATGAAAAGAATTAGCCATATTCGTTAAGCAATAAAAAAATAGCCTTACACGATCGGCAGTAACTTCTGCTCCCTCAGGGAATGAATCAGAGAACCTCTTCTTCAGTTCAATTGCCACAAGCAGGCTTTCTAGTCGATGCATGATTGAGGGTAACAGTGACAATGAACTCCCAATATCCTTAGAAAAGCCAATTACCTTCAACTGACAAATCTCAGGAGGTAATTCAACAAAGTGCTCCTCTTTGTCACGTGACTCTGTTTTCAAAAAATAACAAGCACAACGATATTTCAAACATTCTTGTTTAGGTAAATATTTTTTGTGAACAACTAATCATGCAAGCACTTAATAAGCTACACGCAAATCATAGTAAGGAAGGTTCTCAGTCTCACATAAAATTTTTGATACAAAAAAACCATTGGGGCACTATGCTTAAAAATTAGTAACTGAAACTTGCAATAACTGGAAACCAAATATACAAATTGTTAAAGGAAGCATCCAACTCAAATCCAACTGCCAATCAGTGGAGAGGTCCACAAGGCTCATATACTAGTTTGGGAGGTATTATTTTAACAAATACCAAATAGATGAAATTGAAACAAAAAGCCTCACCAAACCCCACCTAAGTCCGCGCACCTGTGATACCATATTTAACCAAGCATCCAACTCAAACTCGATTGGCAATAAGTGGGAAGGCCCACAAGGCTCATCTACTAGTTTGGGAGATGTTATTTTATTGATTGGGACAAGCTCTAACACAAAAACAACTAAACCAATACCTGTATATCCTTTCTTTCGTAGCAAGTTGCCCAAGCAAAAGAGCTGTTTTGCTTTCAAAAGAGGTTGATCAGGGTATGAAAGACAAATACCAAACCTATTCATGAAATTACCAAAAAAAAAAAACCATAAAACAGAGCATATAAAGTATCACACAAATAAATCATAAAAGTCATAACATCCATAAAGTATTGCAAATAGAAGTGGGTTGCAATATAAGAGATAAACATATTAAGAATGACTCATTTACATTTCCATTGCCAGCTAAACATATCGTCAAAAAAAACAGCTTGAAGCCAGTAATTTTTACTATTTTTCATGTACTGTGACTAAAGATCAAATTACTGTAAAGTCAACAAAATACAGCCAAAGAATTGAGAACTTGGTCACAACTCCATCATATGAAGACAGAGTTGTTCTAATGTGTGTATCCTGCTAGATTTATTCATCCATAAAATATTAAGTCATCCTAACAAACTAGACAGAAGTAGAAAATTTAGGGTTTAAAAGGAGGAAGGCTCAAGATCTGCTCAAATAGATGAAAACCAAGAGAAAAGTGATTAAGGTTTCTTGGGGATGAAAAAGATAAAATGATAGCACAGTGAAATCTAATACGAAAGTATGCTTAGCAAAACCTATAACACAAGCATTGAACAGTGTTGGTGTGATTCCTCTGTTCTTAAATGCGATTCCGAGACAAATGGGAAAACAGAGGACCATGTAGAATGCAGAACAATTATTTAGGAAAAATTAAATTAGCAAGCATACAGCACCATTTTTAGGTTAGAATATGGCAAGTATGTGTATGATCCGTCATTGATTCTCCAAAACTCAAGGATTAACCGGACATAAATGCAAATATTTACTGCCAAGATGTTGTGAGGGGAAAAACCTTCGCAGCTGACACAGGAAATTTTGATTAACATAAGCCATTAGAAAAAACCTTTCAAGGCCTAACCTATATGTCTAAGGAAGCGCACCAAATACTTAAAAAAATACAGATGCAAGTAAACCAAGCAGGCAAATAACATACGTGTCAATGTAGTGATCTATATGGGTTTTGGAATCTTTGAATGAGCTGTATCCATTTTTCTCCTGAACAACTTCAGAAACGAAGAAAAATGTGTCCTTGCATGGAGCATAAACTAAACTATTTACGACATCATTTACACTTCGGGGTCCATTAGCAAGTTGCAACTGCTTGTTCAGATGAGGAATCTTGCCATCTCCAGCATCCTTTGGAGTCCTGAAAATTGGCGAGGACAGGCACTTTCTGACAAGATTCCAGTCCACAGAAATTGTATCTTTGCATTCAACCATAATAACAGGAAGCAGCAGGTAAAAGGTTGATGTGCTTAAATTACAACCATCAAGTTCTCCCAAGGGCACATAATCTGGTATGAACTCCGATCGATCAAGGATGACCTTGAGGAACATCTGTTGGAACTTTTCTGCTAGCGATATCTGTATAATATAGAAAAATGAATAAATCCATAGTTAAGTATCAAGCATGAATATGAGAAGTTGAGCAGCATACTGAATTTCTGATTCAAAAGTTGTTTTTTTACCTCATCATTATCAAACATTGCAACTCCGGACGGAACAAGCTCTGTCGTGACAGATCTACCACGAGCTAAACGAAGATTAAGTTTCATTTTCTCTGCCTCTCCTGGGAGAGGTGCTTTCACGAAAAGACCAAACTCTTTATAAAGCCTATCCACTGGGTTAGGACAAAACTTTATAAAGTATAAGTTAAGATGGACAGGATTTTCCACCTTAGTCCACGCTTTTCTAAGAGCAGCAGGAATGAACATCTCATGAAGTTCTCTTCGTAAATTCTCGTCTGAAAATTAGAAGAATTAAGTATTATCACGTTGCATCCTAAAGACGAAATGAGGCAGCTAAAATTTTCAATTTTCTTTAAATTCCCTAACCATCACAACTGTCCAAATCAGAAAAGTCTTCAACTGATCCTTCATTTTCATTGTTTTGGTCCACCAATAGATAGTTGTTCAATGCACCCAATTCATGTAATTCTTTGCATGCTTTCAAACAGGCATCTTTTTTAGCTGCTTCTAAGGAAGACATTGGTGAACTGACTATTTGGTGAGTTGGAGCATTGGAGGGGAGAATTATGTGGCAGACTGTTCCTTCTGCATCATCAAAGTAAAAGAACTGTGGCTTTGGATTGAAAAACCTGCAGTAGAGATAAAATGTATCTGGTGAACAAATATTGGAAAATAAAACATTTGTCATCCACCTTCGGACCTTCCCAATAAGATGAACTCGCTATTGAAGAGCAAAACAAATCTACCAAACAAAATGAAAAAATAGAGTAAGATCATACTCATCATGTGGAAGTTTTGAACAATAATGGTGAAGTAATGAAATGCTTGATCCAGAACTAATGGTGGCACCAGTTGAATCTACTTTGTATATTCTTTCCTGAAAATCAACCAATGTTGCACTTGTTGTTCTGGAAGCAATTTCCTCCTTCATTTGATCTTCTCCTTTTTTGAAATGTTCTATCAGATCTAGCTCCTTCTGGTTGCCACTGCAATGGTGAGAAGTACAATATATATCTCTGTTCACAAAACAAATACAAACAAAGAAACAGCATATAGTCAATGAAAAGCACCTCTCCACCAAAAATGCATATTCGGACTGAGGCATGCGTGCACGACCTCTAGACTGTATAAAGCTGGCGACAGTTTCTGGAAGATCAAACCGGACTACAAGGCAGCATGTTTGGATGTCTAGTCCTTCCTCACCCACTTTAGTTGCCACCAATAAATTCAGCTGCCAGATCAAACAACTACAGATTATAAGGCAGTAATCAATACACAGACACTACAACACATAGTAAGTTATTAGAGCCCATCAACAAGCCACATGTACCTATACATAATTATGCATAGCAATACAGGTCTACAAGCAAAATGACATGTTAATAAACCATGTCAGCTTTGCGCATGTGGCAAATGTCCAAACCAGAACACCAACTTGGGAAAGTGAAGAATTTATCCAGATCCAAAAGTCAAATAGAGACTGATAGATAAATATCAATCTTTAACAGTTCAGTGAAGTGATCATCGAATATATTCTATTGTAACTGTTAGAGATTTACTTTTCTATTATGTTGCTTCCTTATTATGATCGACTTTCCTAATATTGTAATGGTCTTCAATATCAATCTAATATAAATAGGTAACAGGGTGTTTGCAACACACATTATTTTCTTAATCTCTTTCTTCTTTCTTTTAAACCTAAACCCTAATACTGAGTTTCAACTTGGTATTAGAGCACAATAATCCCAGGGTTTATCACTGCTAAATCAAATTTATTTATTTATTCTTGGGTTTCTACCTTTTGGTTCTTGTTGTAACGAGACTGTTTATAGTCTCAGTCTCAGATTTCAATATTGTTCTTCATTCGTGGACAGTAGGTGGACCATTGAACTTGCATATGGGTTGAATATGTTGATATGTAATGCTTGTGTTGATCGCTAGAGGGCTGTGAACTTGCGACCGCCTTTTGAATGTGTTAATGTGTCGTGCTTGCATTGATCGTCGGAGGCCTGTTTGATGTATTTTGAAGCCTAGTGATGGGTCAAATATCGTGAAGATCTAGTCTGTCGTCGTCCACAGTTGCCTTGATCATCAGAGGTCTGTTTGCTGCATATGCGGTCAACTTCAATTGGCTTGGTGTTGTTGTGACAGTGAAGTCAAGTTGTTGTTTGCCAGAGTTGGCTAAGGGTATAGTGTTGTCCTCAACATAAACAACCAGTAGTAGAATGTACCCTACACAATGTTATCAGAACTAGACCGGTCATCAAACCGGTAGGGGAACCAGGTCAATGATTCAATGGTTCAACTACTAGGCCAACCGGTTATATAATATAAAAATATATAAAAATTATAAAACAAAATATTTTTACTAAAAAATACAAAAACATAATATATAATTGCTCAAATGAAATGTATTAAATTCATTTTCTAAGAAATTCAACCATACAAAAACAAAAGAGAGTGAGAGAATCGTCTGTGTGTGTGTGTGTGTGTGTGTAACAGAGAGAGAAAAAGAAGGGGGGAAGGGGTTCCAGTTATGGGCATTTAGGCAGCAAAAGGAAGGGAGGAGGAGGAGACTCAAAAGTTAGATTGTTGAGTGAGACGAGACTCACTCAGATCAATTGCTACATCTAGAACAAAGGAGGAGCTGGTGTGATCGCCTGAGTTGTTCGTTGCCGCCTGAATTTTGGCGTTTGTCGTCGTCTTTCGTCACCTATAGCAGGTCTCTTGGAAGTGAAGATTAAAGGAAGAAGGTAAAATAGAATTGAAGATTTTGAGAAAATTGCCCAAAAAAGAGGATTTTTTTTTTAATATAATTTGAAATCCAACCATCTGGTTTTAAAAAACCATCTAGTTTACCAGTTTGATAAAAAAATGGGCCGGTTAGCGGTTTTCTTCTGATTCAACTATTTATACGGTTCAACTCCAGAACCAAACCAGCTTAGGTCCCGGTTCATAGTTAGACCGGTCCACCCGGCCGATCCGATCTGGTCCGATTCTAATAACACTGACCCTACATCAATTTGAAAAACAGAATGGTCTGTCTGACATTAGAGAAGACCAAACTTTAAAACTGTATTTGAAACTTACCAAACCATACCCTTGGTGACTGCTTTAACCATATAGGGACTTCCTTAGTCGACAACCACTACTATAATACTCCCTTTAAGTAATAAATTCACGTGGTTGCTCCATGTAGACTTCCTCAGTGAAGTCACCGAGCAAAAAGGCATTTTTGGCATCTAACTGAAACAAGGGTCAATCAAGATTAGCAGCCAAAAAAAATCAATACAAAAACAGACAAAATTTTGGCAACTAGAGAAAAGGTCTCCTTATAATTAATGCCATAGGTTTGAGTAAATCCCTTGACAACAAGTCAAATTTTGAGGTGCTCAATAGAATCATCGGGATTAAATTTGTCGGTGTACACCCACCAACAACCAACAGTCCGTTTACCGGAGGTAAATGAACTAAATCTCAAGTCCTATTATGTGCGAAAACACGTGTAATTCTAGGAGTATTGTGGTGTAGATATTTTTTAATTTTGAATTTAAACAGAACCTTGTATATAAGAGTTATCCTAGGAGTTATATTCTAATTTGATTGTTATCAGGTTAAGTTTATCCCTTTAAATAGGGCTACATTGTACACTTTACGACGTATCTATAAAACATTCAGCTTCTCTAATTCTTCATGGTATCAGAGCTAAATTGATCCCTATCCAGAAAAGTTGAGAGAAAACCAAAGAGTCCCTAACCCAACTGTCACACCAACCAAACACCATGTCTGATCTTTCAGGTGATAATACTTCCAAAAACCCTAAAACAAATTTCTTTCCTTCTGCTATTCCCCAAACAACACCTCATCATGCTCCTCCAGCTGAAAACCCCTCACTACAAATCACCTCACACAAGCTGAATGGGCAGAACTATCTGCCATGGTCCCGTTCTGTCATCATGTTTGTCCGAGGTCGAGGGAGATACGACTATCTCTCTGGTACCACTAAAGCCCCGCCAGAATCAGATCCTTCATATCCTATGTGGAAGGCCGAAAACTCCATGTTGATGGCTTGGTTGATCAACTCTATGGAACCAGATATAGGTCGATTATATCTGTTTCTTCCTACTGCCAAAGCCATATGGGAAGTCGCTGCCAAAACTTACTCTGATGCTGGTAATGCTGCACAGCTATTTGAGGTTACTCAAAGGGTCCGCCGAATCAGACAGGGAGAGCTCTCAGTCACTCAATACTACAGTATTCTCAAAGGTTTATGGCAAAAGGCAGATCAATACCGACAGGTGAAATGGGAGTGCATTGCTGAAAGTACGCTGTACAGCAAGATGCTTGAACAAAAGCGCATCTTTGAGTTTCTGATTGGACTCAACCGAGACTTAGACGATGTGCGGGGACGAATAATTGGAAGAGAACCCCTGCCTTCCATTTCCGAAGTCTTTGTTGTTGTTCGTCGAGAAGAAAGCCACAGGTTCATAATGATGGGAGGAAATCAACCCACTCTATCTGTCGATAAATCTGCATTGGCTACCGACTCTACTCTAACAACTCGGCAGCGTTACAATCAAAGGAGTGACAACAGACACCCTTGGTGTGACCATTGTCAAAATAGGTCATACCAAAGAAACCTGTTGGAAGCTGCACGGTAAACCAACGCACCTGAAGAACAATAAGCCCGCTGAGAACAATAATCATGTTCTTCATGTCACTGAAGATACCCAGTCTGTTCATTCAGGCTCGCAGACTGGTTCTCAAGACTCAGTCATCTCCAAGGAACAATGGGATCTTCTTCAAGACCTGATTCAGAAGACCAAAATGCCAGCTGCATCCACTCCTAATCTGTCTTACTCCTTAGCAGGTATGACAAACAACCCTTGTGTCCCTTGGATAATAGATTCAGGGGCGTCTGACCATATGACTGGTTTATCTAATCTGTTTACCTCCTATTCTCCCTGTCCGGGTAATATCAAAGTTAGAATAGCCGATGGATCTCTATCAGCCATAGCAGGAAAAGGAAAAATTCCTCTCTCTCACAATCTTGCCCTTAATTCTGTGTTACATGTTCCCAAACTTACCTATAACTTGTTTTCTGTTAGCAAATTTACTAAAGACCAAAACTGTGTTGCTAACTTTTATCCTACCTACTGTGAATTTCAGGACTTGATCTCGGGAAAGAAGATTGGCAATGCTAGGTTGGAGAATGGTCTATATTATTTTGAAGAATGATCAAGCTTAGGTAGACAAGTTCAAGTCACAAATAAAGCCTCCACTTCTCTTCAAGAAGATAACATCATGCTATGGCACTATAGATTAGGACATCCTAGTTTTCATTATTTAGCAAAATTGGTTCTTGTTTTATTTTCTAATAAAGATCCATCTCTATTTCAATGTGAGATTTGTGAACTTGCAAAATATCAGAGCACATTTCCGCTCAAAAATTTATGAAAAATCTTCGCCTTTCAATCTTATTCATAGCGATCTCTGGGGTCCATCCCGTGTGAAAAATATTTCGGGTACAAGATGGTTTATATCTTTTATTGATGATCATACTCGTTTGACATGGATATACCTATCAAAAGACAAATCTGAAACATTTCAATGCTTTCCAAATTTTTACAACATGATTAAAACCCAATTTGGTGTTTCTATTCAACTTTTTCGAACGGATAATTGTCGTGAATATTTCTCTAATGTACTTGGTAATTTTTTATCTGAAAAAGGAGTCATTCATCAATCCTCCTGTGTCGATAGTCCTCAACAAAATGGTCTCGCTGAAAGAAAAAATCGTCATCTCTTAGAAATGGCTAGGGCATTAATGTTCACCTATCAAGTTCCAAAATATCTTTGGGGGGAAGCTGTTTTGACTGCTGCATACTTAATTAATCGTATGTCATCTAAAGTTCTCAATTTTCAAACACCCATTCAAATATTTAAAAAATTCTATCCAAATACAAAGTTATTACACTCTTTACCCCTAAAAACATTTGGCTGCCAAGCCTTCGTCCATATTCACAATCAATTTTGAAGCAAACTTGATCCTAAGGCCATTAAGTGTGTTTTTTTGGGGCTACTCTCCTACTCAAAAAGGATACAAGTGTTTTGATCCCATCTCTAAAATATTCTTTGTGTCGGCCGATGTCACCTTTTTTGAAAATCTTCCTTATTTCTCCAAAACTCCTCATCAGGAGGAGATAAGCTCATAATTCGAATCGGAAGATAAGTTTTGGGAATTAGAATCAATAGAATCAGTTTCAAAAATCTCTTCATTTCAAAACTCAAATGAGCCTCAAATCTCTCCAAATTTCATTACAGTTCAAAATTCGAAT